GAAGTCGATCGGCAATTTACGAAGGAAGGACTAAAACTTGTTTTATTAGTTGATAATTTCCAGCTCATCCAATCATTGTTAATCTCGAATCAATAAAACTAATTTTATTTACCACTAAACGCTACCTCGAAACTTCAGCCCATGGACCAGAGCATGATTAGGTCACTAAAATCCCATAGTAGAACACTATCTGTTCAAAAATTAATAGATGCAATAGCGAAAAAAAAAAGCTCTTCCGGAAATTACTATAATGGATGCCATGCAAATGCTTGATGTTGCTTGGGGAAAGATGAAGACCGAAACTAATTGCAATTGTTTTGTGAAAATGTGTTTTGACGCCTTGGTAGATGTAGATGATCCCTTTGAGGATGTCAAAGACCAGTTAGAAAAGCTTGCTGTTTATTCTTCCGAGTTTTTCCCTGAAGGAACAACAGCAAAAGATCGTTTCCATGGATAATTTTGTTAACGCTGCCGAGCCGATAATGAATGATAAGGAGATTATATCTGACGTTTTGGAGAAGAAAATTTTGAGGCTGAAAAAGATGAAAATAGTGATGTAGATTTTTTGATCGAACAAATTTGCCCTCAATCGGGTGATGTACGTCAAGCCCTGGAAGTACTACGAAGCTACATGATTTTCAGTGACAATGGGGATTGTATTCATAAATGTATAAACCAAATAAACTTAATTGAGGAAAAAGAATTCTTAGAAAAGCTAATACAAGCGGATATACGTAGCTTCTTTCACTGAACTTTTTATTACTAAAATAGTGTATATTTTATGTTTATACTTTAGCATCGAATAAACAAAAATCGTCTTGACTCGAACTAATATCTCTTTTCTGTCAAAGTTCGACTTAACGGGACATCGCTAAAGTCGAACATTCGTTAAGTCGAACCATTTTCCTTGGAGGTTTAAGTTATCGGAAATTAACTGTATATATAAATGCCATGATATTGTTTAGGGGTTAATTAAGAATAGCGGCCACCCATGAAAACTGGCTTCAAAAAGAGCCATGTGAAGCTGTCTTCTGTTCCTGTAGATGTATTGAAATAATATGTAAGCCAACAGTTAACAAATGATGTATACAAGGTTTGGTAGGGAAAAATCCCCTGCAAGAAATTTTTTTTGAAACTAGATAGTTTGCCTAAATTAAAAACCTCAGTCAAAGTAGCAGCACTTCTTGCTTGTCCTACTTATGTCAGTCGATCGAGTGACTAATAAGTAGAAAACATTAGAGATACGTAACGCACATACATCGATCGTTGTACACATTTAATAAAAATGCTCTTGCTATTTGTCAGTCGATTTATGAAAAATTAAGCTTGTAACATTAAGACGTTTAAAATATTTATATTTAAATGTCTATTATATTAATATATCCTTTATTATAAGGGCTCTAAAAGTCCGGGAAGATTTTAGCTAGCAAGATAAGACACAAACAAGTAGTTGAAATAAACTTGCTTGTATGCATTTTAATGTTATTAAGGATCGATTTAAATAAAATCAAATTTACTTCAATAAACTTATTCTGGCAAAATATTATTCAACTAAATCTAAAAGTTGTTAAAAGTGAAAGCCACAGGTACAGTAAAAATCGAAATAATAAAAACTTTGAATTTTAAACTAATTTTATATTTATGAAGTTACGTTGAGCAACATAAAAAACAAAGTTTTTAGTATTGTCGTTTATTCCTAGACTACTAATTAACTACGACTAAGTATTTATAAAAGTTTTTTTTGTTTTTGAGGTAACATGTTTGTTATTTATTTACAGAAATAAGCATAAAAGCAAAAAAATTATTAATCATCTCCATTTAAAGCTTTATCACTTGATTTAGATCGGGTTACGCGATCTCTAGATCTTGATCGAACCTTTCGTGATCTACTCCGACTACGTGACCTACTTCGACTCCTAGATTGCTTTGGGCTGACTGAACGTTTTTTTGGGGAGCGACTTCGACTGCTTTTGCTTTTAGAACGAGAACGATGACGACTTCTGCTTCGACTTCGAGAACCAGAGTAATCTCTTGGAGGACCAGGAGAATCCTACACACATTAAATAATGATATATTTGTCTGAAAAAGTTATTATATGTTAAATATTGAAACTAACTTACATCAATAAGTTTAATTCGGCGATCAAAAAACTCAGAGCCATCAAATTTCTTAAGAGCTCTTTTCATTTCTCTATATGAACGAAACTCAACAACCCTGAAGTTTAAAATTTAGATAAAATTAAAATTTTATTTTTCAAAACTTGGACTAAATTAAGATTTAAATAATTTGTAATATTAATCAACTATCTTTGATAAAATATTTTACCCTTCTCCAACTCTTTCTTTATTTGCTTTAGTGAAAGTTACTTCCCCAGCAGATCGAAAATAGTCTTTTAAATCCTAAAGAAAATTAACTAGTAAAGCAAACAATCAAGCTAACAACAAAATGTAGTAACTCAGTGAAACCTTAATGCAGGAGTGAATCGTTTGTTCGAGAAATAAGTAACTTTTAAACAACTCCCCACATCTCACATTAAAAGTGGCTAATCGTTTAAATAGCTATCCAGAAAATTGCTGATTCTCTGGGCGAGGAATCATGACTTAGCTTCCCATTTCTTACTTTATTTTTTTTAACTTATATTACCTTCAAAAATAAGGAAATGAAAATTCTGCCACACCAAAATGGGGAAAAGATAGAAAAACCAAGATGGTGTTTCCACAAGAAAAATCATTTGAGGGATTTAAGCCACAATAAAATTGATTTGAGGATTTTGATTCAACCTTTGACAAGTTTACCATAGGAATATTTAAGTAAAACCATGGATTCACTGATAAGGATAAGGATAGATAACTCAGAAAATTTTGACCAAGTTTTGTCAGTTTGATAAGATGTGAGGATAATCAGATCATTGAAAGTTTCACCTGAAATTATCACCAAAATTTAACAAATTGAATTTTATTTACATAAAGCTTAGCACTACCTTTTTATCACATGAACGCTATTTTATTAAAGAAAACCTTACCATCCATCCTACTCTAGATGACAAGTTGGTAACAATTAATCTCCATTCTGTATTGTATGGTCTCCCTCTGCCCCTAAAAACATCAATATTTATAAAAAAATTATTATACCTAAGATAAAAGTAAAACAGCCCGCAGAGAGAGTGAGAGAGAGGAAAAAAAAAGAAAGACTTTTTAGTCAAGTTAGTAGTCAATAGGTTAGGACCTCACCTTTCTCGAACACTATAACCGCCGCGATCTCTTTCGCCTCGAGTATCTCCACCGCGAGCTGTACCTGTCGCATGCTCTACAGTGATCCTGAGAAAAAAAAAACCAAAAAGATAATAAATTTTGATACTTTAGAAAACTAACCTGTCATTTTCATGTCCTTTTCGTCTGTCACCATCACGCTTATCCATATCAGCTCTTGGACCATGCTTTGCATGTTCAACAGTAAGTCTGAAACAAATCAGTATAGATATAATGTGCTTAAAAAAAAATTACACACCCTCCCGCCACCACCCAGAAAAAGAAAGTTGTCAAACTTTGACTTTTCAAGCTTAAGATTGTTTGATTCCCATTTCAGTCAATGATCAGTTAAACCTTTTTTTTCTTCCAAAAAAAAACTAAATTTCATTAAGATTATTTTTATTTCTTTAATCCAATTAAATGTAGTAGTAACTTAAATGAAATTAGAACTGTACGAAATTATTTCTGTATATTAAAATATTAAAGCTCCTCCAAAATTAACACAGTATATTACATAAATAAATTTTTGTGTAGAAATGCTCCAAAATCGATGTAACACTACCATCATTTTTCTCTGACCAAAATCAAACAGCTGACATATGTACACTGATAGTACTTTTATAAACAATAAATTTAGGACAATGATTAAAATATTAGAAGTAACTGGATTGACTTAAAAATACTGGTAGAGTTTACTAAATAAATCAATTGGTGCCTGTAAATACTGTAAACAACTTTTCCTAATTTATCATGTTTTTTGTTATTGTTAGGTGTCAGATTGAGCATAAAATCAAGTAAAAAACAAATAACTTACAAATCAAATTATAACTTGATAATTTGAATGTTTTAATTAAACATTGGAAAAATGTTTAGAAAAATGGGAAAAAGTTATTACCAGTAAAAAGATAAAATTGTCATAAAAATGAAAAAATTAAATTTTACCTTGAACCAAAAAACTCTTTTCTGTCTAATTCATAAACTGCATCATCTGCATCTCTTTTATCTTCAAACTCCTAAAAAAAAACATCAACTATTAGGCATTTGTAGCTTGAAACTTTGTGTGTTTTTATGAATGTATGTATGCATATATATACATACAGTTTACTTTTACATTCTAAAACTCAATTCAACTTAGAGTCAGAAATGCTTTTAGAGATTTTAAAAACCTTTTGTTAGCATATTTGTCAAATTTGTTAGCATATATAATTCTCTCTCTTATCTTGCTATAATTATAAACGAGACAAGCAACTCTAAACAGAAGTAGCTTTTACAATGGAGTTTAAAAAATAAACTATTGAAAATTACTACTTATTGATTTGAGCAATTGGAATTAAATATCTAAATACATTGTCGCTAATATACAATGACGAATCACGTAAAACAAATAAATTCTAACCTTTATTTTAAAATAACAAATTTATATTTAAGCTGCTCGTAAAGCGCAAAAATTTTAAGGAGAATCCTAATAGTAATAACATTAATTTAATATTGAATAATAATGGATGGTACTTACGACAAATGCATATCCCAGTTTAATATTTACGTCTTTCAGACGAGAAAACCCATTATCTTTGAAAAAATTTTCAAGATCTCTAACTCTGGCTTCAGGATTTAAACGTCCAACAAAAATCCGATTCCTGTTTGGGTTATCTCTACTACTCATCGTTGGTAAACCTCTTTACTTTTCACCCACCAGCTTTGAATCAGGGTGCCGATTAAAAAGAACGATGCGAGGTTATATAAAAGAAGAAACGAAATCATATCACGTGAACAAACTAACCAATAAAATTGCATTATTTTGTTTTTATGAGAATTGTTCATAAAAAGAAAAGACTGGGTAATAACTAAATACAGACTTAAAGTCTCTCTTGAATAAACGATGTCTAAAATAGAAATTTTGCGTAACATTAAACATTCCGACATGTGTTAAACATGTTGCATAGCTCACCGGTTATAAAAGTAGCGTAGCTACTAAATTTCTTTATGATAAAACATGTATATAAAATATGTATGATAAAATATGTAACTGTAATTAGCTGTAATAAAAAGCTGTAATTAGCTGTAATTTTAACATTTAAAATAATATCTTAAAACATATTGCAAATTTGTCCATTGATTTGAAAATTTTTTTTAATGGTTTTTAAAATATTATTATTAAATTTTAAAACATGTAAAAAATTCAACAAAATAGCATCTTTAAAACTTTTTTGTAGTTGAACTTCATTATTTTCAATGCTGGTGTTACATACAAATACTCTTCAGAATAGGTAATAAAATCAACTGTGTCGCTCATTAAACCCATTCCACATATATTACAGATAGGGGAGAGTCGCGTAGCCCCGTACAACTAACGGAAATATAGATTACGCACATGTGCTAACAGAAAAAAAGTGTCAAAAGACTTTTTTTAAAAGTTCAAACATTCATCTATCGAATTAGAAACAAAAAAATAATTGTTGTGTACCTTAATAATATAAAAAACATAAAAGAAAAAATGTTAGAAAAAAGGCATGTTTCAAATTTGGAGGGTAGTCTTGGACACATAGTTTAACCATGACATTACCTCTTTTTTACCAGGTTGACCCAAATGTAATATATAATAATTTAGCATTGGACTATTCTCAACACATTTTTGTAAAAATCGCCTTCAAAAATTGCTTCTAATATCTAAGGAATGAGAATGAAAATATCATCATTTAAAAATATAAACATAAGCTTTTTTATAATGAAAATAAACACTTTAAAAACACTTTTTTCTAATCTAATGTTTTTTTTTTTATTGGAATTAAATAAATTACTGTTATAGGTTTGTGTATTATATTAAATGTATTAATATTTATATAAAAAAAGTTGTTTATTATTAATACGTAAACGAATTAAGTTGTCCTCAGCCACCCTCCAAACATGTGTCCGATACCACCCGATCATACCTCATTCACAAATACTAATTTTAAAACCAGTGAATTAAACTTTTTAAAAAACTTTTTTTTATAATAACTATTGTAAATAAAAATATATCTTTAATCATTAAAAAGTTATTAGTTTACATAAAAATTAGGTATATTAATATGTGAACCAAATATGTTGATACCTTCGCTCTTCTAGTGGTGGGAAACAAAATCTTGCCCTCCCAGTCATTCGCTTCGGCATTTTATGATAGATATTTTGCATATACCATATTCACATCACATCAAGTGTCCGGAGTTAACCGCCGTCCGGGGTTACCCGACTTTCCCCTAAGATTTATTTTGAAAGAATGATCTATGTTTTAATATATTTAAACTTATTAGCTATATAAAATGCACAAAAAAAATCAAAAAAAAAAAAAAAAAACGTTTGTAAAACAACTTAAAAGAAGCAGCAATATATTGAAATAAATAATTTTCAGTTACAGAAAAGTAGTTTACTTACAATACAGCTTATCGTAAACATTGAAATATATAAAAATTGAATCCAAAATATGAAAAAACAAAACTACTTAAAAAAAACACCCAAAAACAGAACACCCAAAAAAAAACTATTCAAAATAAGTAGAAAATTTGTGCAGGTTAAACTGCACAAACTTTGTCACCAAAGTTATTAGTTTTTGTTAAAACTTATCAAAAAGCCAAAATGTAACTTTAGCGATGCATTGAAATATTAATAGCGGAATTTTTTTTAATTAAATTATTTACTAATTCCATTGTTATGTTAAAATTTACAATTTAATTTTTAAAAAATTAATTAATCTTATTGCTTATTCATTTGGTATTTGTAATCAGTTATATGGCTTCTTTTATTACCTATTTACAATAAAACAGATACTTTTTACTAAATTTTTACTGAGGATTTAGACTTTATATAGTCATATGTAGTTAAAGCATGTCCATATGTGTGTGTGTGTGTGTGTGTGTGTGTGTGTGTGTGTGTGTGTGTGTGTGTGTGTGTGCTTCCGAACAACATACCTACTAATAACTTGAATTCCTCCATTATGTACACCACTGTTGGATGCAGTTATGTCTACACAAACAGCAAAAAAATTATTTTAAATATCAAAATTTTCCGGAATATTTTTTATTTGTTTTGCTTGATCTTTGATTTGAATGAATTTGCCTGGATAACTCCTTACAGAATATCACAACTACTATCATCCTCAGGAATTGTCTCGCTTTTATTTCTATAAGCGAGACTTTCTATAAATTGTCTCGCTTATAATTCTATAATAATTTTTTCATTTTAATGGTAAAATTGTTTTTAAGATCTCCTTTATTATCCAATTTGTTATCAAAGTGGAGGACAATTAAATCATTTTTTAACTGTTTCTAAATTATTTAAAGTTGTCTAAAGAGCACCAATTTGAGTTGTATTTTATAGACCCACATTACCCCGTTTAGCGGGGTAATGTGGGTCTAAGTTATTTTTTTAAAATGAAATATACCAACTAATAGTAAAATATGACTAAAATCATTAAGTATGTATTATATTTAAATTATTTGAATAAAAGTTTAAACATAAAAGTACTTAGATGTTTTAAATGCAAAAGAACTTTACTGTTCAAAACGCTAAATTACTTGTTCAAAACGCTAAATAAGAAATGCAAAATTAATATTTTTATCTATCTCTTTTAGCTGTTTTCCAAGGAGAGCTTTCTTGTAGTTCAATTTTTATAGTTTTTGTTTTTCCCATCTTTTTTATTTGATTATATAATGTTCAAATTTGAAAACCGAAGATCTTATAAAAAGTCAGAGTACGATGAAATTATGTTTAAGGAAGAATTTAAAGCAAAAGTTCAATTGAAAATTACCTAAAAGTTTTTGTGTTATATATTAGAAATTCATTATCCTTAAAAAACGATTTGTTTTTGTAACAAAAATTCAATATGCAATGCTTTAAAACTGCAATCCTTCAAATGTTACACTGCGTTATATACTAGTTTCAATTAAAAACATAACATCATTACATCTATAATGATTATCTAAATGATTCCATGTTAATATTACTCCAAAAAAAATGAATCTAGAAAGATATTTAGACTAAGTTATACTAAACTTTTTAAAGTTATTTATTGTATAAATATACATATAGACCCACATTACCCCACCAAACAATGTTGCTGATTTCAAAAAAACTATGCATTATTCTGTCTTAAATTTTTTTTTTTTTTTGGTTCTGATTACAATATACTATGGTATAAATATCGTTGTACATTAAATATCAGAACACGGAGACTCAAAGAGGATTGTAAGATCATGTCACTGAGAACCGTTTAACAATACAGTAAAAATAAAACCAGTTAAATAATTACAATGAATGACGTTTAAAAATAAAATTTAAATTTAACCAGATATTTCCTATAAAATTTCAAATAAAATTTAAATTTCAAATCAAATTTAAATTTAACCAGATATTTTAAAATATAAAATAACATTTAACAACATAAAGAATATATATAAAACTAAATATTTCAAAATAAAACTATATATTTAGGAACCACACACTTTTTTAAAAGGCATAAACTCAAAAGAACTCGAAGATAAAATCAATTGACAAGATAACTTTTTTCAACTTATTTTTAAAAGTAAGAAAACTCCAACTTTGGGAAAAATCAAAATTTTTCAAAACTATTTTGTTCCACAGAAGAGCACCGCGATATGTTAAAAGAGATCTTCCAAAACTTGTATGAGAATAATGTTGATAAATAAGATTATAATTTCTTAAGTCATATTTGTTTTTTTATTTTATTGCATATAAATTTTGAAAGGATATAGGGGTTAGGTTTATCTTACATTTGTACATAGATAAAAAAACATTAAAAAACATTTTGCTGGTATATATTAAGAACATTCATTTCCAATAAAAGAGGTCTGGGATGAGTATAACAATCTTTAAAGTTTGTTAGATGTGCTATATGCTTCTGTTGCCGATATAGAGTATCTAATTGAATTTTTTTAGCACTACCCCATGCGATATTTGCATAGTTTATATGGCATTGAATTAGCGAGTGATAAAGTTGAATTAATGAATGTCTATTTACAAAATTTCTCGCTTTATACATTACTCCAATATTTTTTGAAACTTTATTGCGCAAAATTTCGATATGGTTTTTCCAAGTTAGATTTTCATCAATGAAAACATCAAGGAAATGTATAACTTTTGATATTTTTACCGGATAGAAAAAAATTTGTATCATCAGCAAACATTACGGTCTTCAAACTTGAGGCATTGTGCAGATCATTAACATAAATGAGAAAAAGTAGTGGCCCTAGTATAGACCCTTGGGGAACACCACATGTTGTATCTAGTAAACTTGTTGAGGAGGATACGTCAATTTGTACGTATTGTACTTAGTTAAATATGAAATTAGCTCCTCTTAACATTTTAAAACTGTTTTTAGGGTAATGTTGGTCTAATGTTACGTTCCTAAAAGAATGCAACAAACCTATAGCTAAATGGAACGCAACAAACCTGTAGCTAAAACTTTGAATAATATTTATTTAACTTATTTGGAATAAACCAAATAATTATTTATGGTTTACAAACCAAAATTAGTTATTTGGTTTATTTCAAACATAACTATTTGCAGTGTTTTTGTATAAAAAAGTAACTTTTTAAACAAGGTTGAAATTCTATGGCAACATATTTAATTTAAAAAGTATTTTTTATATACTTTGATATTACTTTTCAAATAAACCTTACATAAGTGAATTAACGCTGAAACTTACACAAAAATGCTAAATCAGCAACATACAGTATATTACTTAAAAAGACTATCA